CCATGCTGCTCATCAAACTCTGAGTGCAAGTCTTCCAGGTATGCAAAGGCCAATTTCTTGGGGAACCCAGCTTCACACAGGACCAGGTAACACACTCCTTTCTCGATGATGTAGCTAAAAGAATGGCAGACAGAGCATTAATCAATCAATTTTGAACCTGTCCTGTCAAACACCACCCTGCACACCTTTATTCCTATGAGGCAATGAGAGCTGGGTACAAGAACTTCAAGTGTAAACCTTTCTGCAAAGCCATGGCTTATCTTTTCTCTAGCCAAAATAAATTTTCTTGTAGCTTCAGCCTCTACACCCATGCCAACAGTCCTGGGCTTTGACTTCAGCTGAACAAAAGCTGGCCTGTGAATAACATTAGCTTAACAAAATACCAGCAACAAAAGAGTTGTAATTTTGGAGTATAAAAAGAGAACACCCTGCAGTCAGGAGGAGGGAGCACAAGAAAGTTTGCCAGCAGAGTAGAGGGGAAGGTGGCCAACACATCCCTAAGTGGCAGCACAGCCAAGTACCTGAGGCCACAATGGAAGCTGAGGCACTGAGATGAGGAGGCACACACAGGAGCTCGGTCTCAGCGTGCTGGGAAGGCACCCAGTCCCTGCCAGCTGTCCCTCCCCATTTCAGAGGGCTGGCTATGCCCTTCCTCAGCACCACCAGCCTGCTGGAAGGGTGCTGCTGTGCACAGGCATCACCACAGGGGCAGCTGGGGAGGGGCACTGCTGCTAACTGGGTGCTGGTGACCTTACAGGCTCACCATGGGTGGGTGTGACCATGCCACCAGTTCTCCAAAGCACACAGTGACACTCCTGCTGCTGTGTAAAGCTGCTTGGTTTGCCCCCCAGCTGAGGGCACACGGGTCCTCTTCTCACCCACCACCAACCCTGAGATTATTTAGGCTTCACTTTGTCACTGTGCTGCTCCACATTCCTATCTGAATTTTCCTCCCCACTTAGCCAATATAAAAATAAAGGCTACAATACTCCCACCAAAAGCAAGGGGGTGGAGACAGTAAACAGCCCTGTAAACACTTTTGAATGCTTATCTATATTCTTCAGGGTGGAGTGAGAATGCTACTTTTAGGTTACCTTCCTTTGACTTTCTGCATAATGCCATTAGGCATTAGTCTGGTTAGCATAAAGATTAGCAGTGTATTAAAGAAATGATCCAGTCCTGAGGGCACTGTAGTAAAATAAGCAGCTTAAAATTTTGTTAATAGACACATCAAGCTTACAAAACAACTTCACCCCACTCCCCACTGTTTTTCCAGATACCCCAGCAGGGCCATGTCCTTTAAATCCTTTAAATTAGCCATCCTCACCTTGTTCCTGAGCTCAGGAGTATCCATTCCTCCTGCCTCTATGTGAACCCTGAACAACAGATTCACCCCAACCAGAAGAAGAAACTGCAGCTGCCATCATCCATTCCACAGCATTTCCCCATGTGCCCGTGGCCTTTGGTCCTTTTTATGTTCCTCAGCTTGGACTGCATCACCTCCCTTACCCCTGGAGACCTGCTTGCCACATTGGGGTTGCTAAAGATCATCACCCAGAGCTTGATTTAGCCACTGCCATGATGAGTAAGACTTGAGCAAATCGAGAGCCAGTGTCAGAAGGGAATTCTGGCAGCACTCTCCAGGTGAGAGCACTCTGAGGAACATGTCCCTGTTCCTGCTCTGTTTATCTCTGCCTGGAGCTCCTCAGCTGCATTTCCCACTTGCTTCTTTCTCCCTGCTGTGATACTCAGTGTGCTGGGTTAAAGTTGGTCTGTCAGCACCACAGGGAGCGAGCTCACCTCGCTCTACCCCAGATTCAGACAATTCTGTCAACTTCAGACCAGAGTTCCTGCCCAGCTGAGCCTCTCAGTTTCATCCTTTGTGTGCACCCCCAAGCTTCAGCACAGCACCTGCCTGCCTGTCCTCACTCAAGGGGGGACTGCCACTGTTAACTCTGCTCAGAGTGCAGCCAGCAGGCCTCCTGTAATCACACTGGGCATTTTGAGAGAGAAAAGCTTTATCCTGGTAACAGTGGCAAAGGCCAAGGGTTGCTTTGAAATGACAGGTAGGAGTCACTTCAGCCATTCATCAGGCAAAGGTCACCTGCTCACTGACAGCACAGCAGAGCTGCTGGTGCTCCTGTACCTGCACAGCCCCAGGGCTGACACAGCTCCTGCAGCTGAAACCTCGGCACAGCGTTTGGCAGAAATCACCCAAGGGCTCACAATTTAAACTTCAAGCTTCAGGAAAGCTCAGCTCTGCTTTGAACTGATGAAGCTGAAGATGTTCAGCAGCACCTCAGCAAAACAGCTTCACCCCACTCCCCAGCAACACCCTGGGCTGTGCTGCTGACTCCCCCCAGAGCTGAATGCTCTGTCCTGCTTTGTGCTGCCCTCAGCACTCTGGTCTGGCACAAGACTGGTGAGCAGCATGGCCATGGGTCAGCGTTATTTCAGACTAAATCTCAAATTCCCCTGTTACCTCTCCTCCCTGCAGGGAATGTTTCTGACCTGAAATTGCTCTTTCCACACGGGTCCTGCTGCAATGTCCCACCTCAAAGGAGGCAGAAGCAAGTGCTCTGCAGCAGCAGCTGTCAGTGGCCAGCAAAACCCATCCAGGGACTAGCTCAGCCCAGGAGCAGGAACACTCCTGTCCCAGCCAGGTAAGCTGGCTGCTCCTTTGGGACAGCTGGCAAAGCAGGCCTGCCCAAGCCCTCCCTCCTCTCACAGCTGCTGCCAGTACAGCCACACTAAGAGGCTTTGATTTCCTGGGCAAGTGTTGCCACCTTGCCAGACATCTCCCTGCTTGCATCATGGGGGTAACTCAAGAAGGGATTTACTGGCATCTGCACAGGCTCCTTCCCAAGGCTTCACTGCCAGGCAGAGCTACACCCATGCTGTGCCAAGGAGACACTCAGAAACGAGGCAGATTTTAAATTCTGTGAAGATTTAACTTTAGAAAAAGCAAGAGGAAGAGCAGCACTTAACTCCAGCGACAACACCCAAATCCAGCAGAGATAAGGGTGGCCATGCCAGTCAGGGTTATCCTCTGACACTCTAACTCCCTATCAAAGGCAACCAGAAGCCCAGAGAAAAGATTTTTTTATAAATCTTGTCTCAGTTAGCAGACAAAAGGCAACCACAAGAAAAGCATCCCCCAAAACCTCACGGCTTTTGCCAGAGATTGCCCATCCAAAAAACTCCTGTTTTCATCTCTTGATGCCTCTGAATAAAGGGTTGGGGTGGGAGATTTTGCTCCTGTTGCTGGAGGAGAGGCCCAAAGCCAACCTTGCCCAGCATTCAAAGGCCACCTCCCCCTCACAGACACACACCCAGTCACGGGAGCCACCTGCCACAGAGGGATCCTGCTGGGGGTGGCACCGAGGGGATCCGGGCACAGCCCTGCCACAGCTCTGCCTGGAGAGCTCACCCGGCCCCTGAGCCCTCCAACAGCCATCCCTGCCATGGCACAATGCTGATTCCCAGCAGGATCCTGACTGAGTGCTCGGGCATTGCCCTGCCAGGCACTGACATGGCACAGAAAGAGGCATTTTCCCCTCACACACAAGCTTTGCTGCCTTCCAGCTCCCCCTCTGCTCACCCTGCTATTAAGGAGTAAGGGTGTCTGACCTCTGCAAGATTTCCTTATTTCACAGCCATGCTCTCTTGCAGGAGTGCTGCTGGAGAATGCCAAAAGTGCTTTTAAGTCAAGAGCTCCCAAAGAGTTAAGGAAATTAACTAAACACACCCAATAAATCTAGCAACAATAAGACTGAATTCGCTGGATGAGAGAAAGAATTCTGTCAGGTATTAAGACAACAATAACAGAAATATTCAGAGATGCTCGACGTGCTTGTAATTCATGAAAGCTGAGCTTTCACAGGGCACAGAGAAGGCAGTCCTGGCCAGCAGGAGGGCACAGTACACGGCTGTACAAGGACAGATCTCTTTAAAGACGAGACATAGGCCGCCCAGAAGATGCAGTGAGGGCACAACAGAGAGGAAAGCAGGGAGGGAACAGACCACGAACCGGGATGAGAACCCAGCGCCAGACACCTGTGCCAAGCAGTGCCAGCTCTCACTCTCTCCCTGGGCAGCAGGGCTGGCAGCAGCCCCGTTCCCAACGACCCAGCCCGTCTCCAGGTGGGTTCCCGGGAGCCGCGATCCCGCAGCGCTGCCGGTACTCACTGGAAAGCCATGGCTCCCGCCTCCAGCGTGCAGCGCGTCGGGGACTGCTCGTTCAGCTTGCGGAAGAGCTGCTTGGCCTGGCTCTGGTACTGCTGCAGGTCGCGGCCTGACTGAGGAGGCAGGAGGGAGGGAGGAGAGCGGCTGCACGGCCGGTACCGGACACACCAGGGGGCTCGGGGCTACCGGCACCGGCCCCACGGCTCTTCCCGCCCCACCCGCCACCACCGCTGCCGCAGCCGCGCCGCTGTGAGAAGGGACTGCGCGGCTCCCGGTGGGTCGCCCCCCGCCCGCTCCTCACGGACACACCAGGCCCTCCCCGGCCGCGCCCCGCCGGCCGCACCTGCTCGTCCTCTTGCATGGAGGCGGCGAGGGGGAGCCCGTCCGCCACGCGGGCGATCATCGTGAGCAGCACCATGGTCGCGCCCGCCGCCCTGCCCGCCTGCCTGCCACGGAGCCGCCCGGAAACTGCCACCGCCACTTCCGGTGCGCGGCCGCCGCGCCGCCGGCACTTCCGCCCCACCGTGGGAAGGGCGGCCGCGCCGTGCGCGCACGCGCCAACTCGAGACCACGCCCCCGGTATAGCCACGCCCCCTAGGAGCAGACGCGGCCCCTCCGCACGGCCACGACCATCATGCTCCGTGTGACCACGCCCTCTCGGCAGCACCGCCCCGTTCCTGCCGCGCCAAGTAAGCCCCGCCCATCTCCCCTGCCGGCCCCGCCCTCGGCCCCGCCCCGTGACGCGCCCCCCGCGGGCGGGGCGGGGCGGCGGCGGCCCGGCGCGGTGGGCGCGCGCCAGGGCGGCGGGCACAGCCATGGCGGCGGCGGCCGAGCGGAGCCGCCTCAGCTTCCCCGGCGGCACCGGGGCCCTGGGGCGGCCCGTGCCTATGAACCTCTTCGCCACCTGGGAGATCGACGGCTCCAGCCCCAGCTGCGTGCCCAGGTAACGGGCGGGCGAGGGCGCGGACCGCACCCCCTTTCCTCCGCGGCTGCCTCCTGGAGCCCCGTTCCCATCACCTGTGCGAGCCTCCCGCAGCCGCAGGGCCCTTCCCGCCCTCGCCGCTCCCGCAGTGACGGGCACGGCTCCTCCCGTGCCTTCGGGCTGGGTGGCGGTGCGGGGCTCCGGCGGAGGGCGGGGGGTGCTGCCGTGTGTCCGGTGTGCGGGGTCACCTTCGCCGTGCGTGTCCCGCAGCCCCCGGCGCGGGATGGGGCTCGCCGGTACCGCGGTGCCGCCGCCTTCCCCGGGCAGTACCCGCAGGGCTGGGCTCGGGTGCGCATCCCTTTCTCGGGGTGGTTCTGCGCCCTGTGCCCGTGTCGCCCCGTTCCCCTGCTGGGTGTACACACGCGGCCGTGCTCCCTGCCCGCATGGCAGGCATTCCTCTCAGTTTTTGGAAATTTTGCGCTCTTCAAGCCTAGCTCAGAACAGAATGCCTCTGCGGATTTAAACGTGCCGGAGACAAATCTTTGAAGCGCACCTCTTTATCTTTGTTTGTTTGTTTTGTTTTAAACGAGGAGGTAGCGAGCGGGCAGAAAGGAAGCAGAGTCATCAGGCTGGCCTGGCAGGAACGTGAAGCTCTGCAAGCTTTACAAACCCCCCAAATCCCTCTGTCTGCTGCGCCATCCACACGGCAGGCTGGACTCGGTGGCCATGCCCCTGTGTTGCAGGGACGAGTAACTATCACAAACACTGTCGTGGTCTGACATCGTGGGCAGGAGCAGAGAGGGGCAGAAACACACCTGAGTCCTGCTATCGCAGCTAATCTGGGTTTATAGCAGTTTATCTGTGCTAGCAACGCCTTAGGCAGCAACTTTTTGAGCTTGTGTCTCGTTCAGCCTTTCTTTTCTGCAACGGGAGATCTTGGAAAGGCTCTGGCGCCCGGGGGAATGTGCCTCTGTTCAAGGAGTCCCTTTGCTGTGGAAGTTGTCACTTGGATGGGAATAGCTGGAGGAGTTGGTGCTTTTTCATTTTGCACTAGACAAGAAAGTGTCCCTGCTGCTGGCAGGGGGCAGGTCTTAAATGATCTTTAAAAGGTCCCTTCCCACCCAAAGCATTCTGTGGTTCCAGTGCGATTGGCACTGTCCCTGCTGTGCAGAGGACACAGTAGCACTGCTCTGGAAACAATTCTCTCCACTGCACCCTTTGCTACAGTAAAGCAGCTGTGTTTCCATCCCATCCAGCCTTGTACCAGTGGCTGTTGAACAAATAAAAGCCCAAACGTCTGACACTGTCAAGGACTTTTCATTCTGCATTATCATTTATGCTGATACTTGCAGATCTGCAAACGAGCTCACAACATAGCCTGCTTATCTGCAAATCTGTGGATGACCAGAAAATGCAGTGTAAGGACACTGACCCTGCCTTGGTGGGGAGCTGGATGCTGGAATTGTGGTGGGCAGCAGATGGTTGAGGTGCCTGCAGGAATGTGGGGAATGCAAAGCACATGTGGATATCTGGGCATGTGGGGCAGAACTGGGGTTTGAGGGGGAAAGTCTGGAATTGCTGTGAAGCAGGGGATGGTAAAAGTGCTCAGATTGCCTGCCCTGAGGAGTTGATGGAAGAATTGGGGCATTTGGGACCTTGTAGGACCAAAGCTTTTGGTAGAGGGAGTTTGGTGTGGCGGTGGCTCCCTCTGCTCTGGCCCTGCTGTTGCCATTACTTTTGCTTGCTCCTCCTGGGTGCCCTTTTTCCCTCAGCCAGGGGGATGAGCTCCATCCAGCTGCTGCCAGCCCTGTGAGCCTGCATTTCCCCAGATGTGGAGTTTCCTGCTGGACACGGAGAGGGCAGCCCAGGGGCTGGGCACAGGCTGTGGCTGTGGGTGCTGGGTGGGTTTGTTAAGCCCAGGTGAGGTTTCAGGTTCTGTGGGGATGTTGGTCCTGTGGCAGGGTGAGGTGTGTGCTGGGCAAACACCAAGTTCTGCAGCAGTCAGTGCTGCTGTTTCTGACCATTGATCATCATTTCATTACGGGCTTTGCGACAGACCTTTCTGTCAGAGAAAGCAGGAGCTTGAAAACCTTTAAGTTATGCCTCTGCCTTTTAAATTCACATGGTGATGATTTTTACTATGGCACAACGACATTTAAGGTTCTTTTATCTTAAAGCAAGAGATATTTAGAATGAAGTGCTCTGCGTGGGAAACCATATCCCAAGTGAGCTTGTTGTCCCAGCAAACGCCTGTTGGGACATGAGGGGCGGATGTGGAGGGCCTTGCTGTGTGGTCACACACAGTGGAGCTGCCTTGGCCTCTGCTGAGATTTCCACCAGTTCCCTTCTGGGTCTCTGCTGGCAGGACAGGCTTTCCAAGCAGAGAAGAGATTTGAGCTTGGCACAGAGTCAGAGGATTCACGGAGAGGAGCGCGTGCCTGGGGAGGGAATGTGGCTTCCTTCCCTTCTCCTTTTGGTTCAATAAAGCTTAGCCCATTTCCAAGGTGTTTCTGCTACTGTGGCCTGGGGCTGGGTGGAAGCAGTGCCTGCAGTGGTCCTGCCCTGCTCTAGGTTGTGTGTGGGGTGCTTGTGTGGATGTGTTCGTGCCTGTGCTTCTACACACTCTGGTGGGTGGTTTACTGAAAGTCCACTCAGCTTGGGTGGGGTGTCAGCAAAATCTGGAAGGCTGCCTTGGTGCATCCATGGAGTTTCCTTGTGTGAGAAGGCTGTGTCTAAACTTAAGGAGGAATGGTAGGGAAGAGTCATGGTGGTGTCCTGCAGTTGTGCGCTTGGTGTGAAACAGGAGGTGAGGTGGTGTTTTGCATTTGTTCTGGCTTCTCTCACTCCTCTGCCATCTGCAGAAGTGATTTTATGATTTATTCTTCAGCACACGCAGCTCCTGGGAGGCTTGACCATAGCATTTCTGAAATGCAGCTACTTTCTTTTAGTCATCCCAGAAATGTGACTCAAAATGTCTCACTATCTGGGCGTATCCACTGCATACCAGAAGGGAGAGATGCCTACCTTCTCCTGCTGGTTGTTCCTTCTGTGCACTGAAAGACTTTCCTTTGGGGAAGGTTACATTACATAAAGTTCTCCCTACCACCTGTAAACACTGAGAGTGATCTTGCTGCATGGCAGCAAGAGAATCAACACCTTTTCCTCTTATTGAAAGAGTAGAAATAAGAATTGTTCTGTGGATTTTGGTGTTGGTTTTTTTACCTTCCAGCCTTTTGATCAGTCTGTGGGTGTGAATGGCAGGATGCAGTACTGTCCCATGAGGAGATGGCACCATGTGGAGGCTGTCCAGAGGAGGAGAGATCTTGGTGGAAAGGTTTGTTGGAAGGGTCTGCTGAAGCAAGGGAAGGCAGCAATATTCCCATTTGGAGCGGGTTTTGTTTCAGACTACTGCCTGAGCTGTCACAAACAGGTAAAAGTTGCTGCTAAGCTTTGAACTGTGGATTGAGAGCCAGCTGGATGCGGAGCAGTGTGCCCCAGTGTCCCTGGGCGCTGCAGGAAGAGCAGAGCAGTGCAGAGGCAGCGCCAGAGGGCTGGGGCTGTCACTGGGCACTGCCTGAGCGTTCCCCCTGTTGGCTCACTCTGTAGCTTGCCTGCTGGGTGAGGAAATGCAGAGGGGCTCACACACATGCCCTGGGCCCACAGGAGGCTGGGGGTGTGGGGATGTGGCTGCTCAGGGCTGTGGCATGGCCCTGCAGCACCGGGACATGCACAGCAGCCCTGGTACGGACGTGCCCGGGGGCCATGGAGAGGGCTGGGGTGAGATTTGGGACTCAGCAGCTGAGTGATCCTAGCAGTGTGCTCGTGCCCCAGGCCGTGTGCTCCTCTCTCTCTGCCAGCTCCCATCTCCCTCCACTGCTCTGTCTGGCTGCCTCCTGTGGGCTGATGAGTGGCAGAGGGCTCTGTGAGCGTGGAAGGGTGGCAGCGCTGCAGGTGTGTGACAGGAGGGACACAGTGAGCACTGCTGGGGCGTGCAGCCACTCCAGCAGTCTGCAGGTTTGCACCCATAGCCGCTGATTGCCTCTGCTAGCAGAGTGATGAGGGGCTTGTGGCCTGTGTGAAGTGCACAGCTGGCTCTCCCTGCGAGGATTTGCCACAGATTCACGCAAGAGTGGAACACTTTGCCCTTTGGTGTGAAGGATGCATGCCTGCACTGGGAATGGGAACTTCTCCTGGCCAGTGAGAGCATGTTCTGACCTGGCTTGAGCAATGCCAACTGTGCATCATGCCATCAGAGAAAGGTGAACAACTTGCTAGAGTAATAATTATGATCAGGTGATGCTGTCTAATTAAAAACACGGATTAATTCAGGTAGGGAGAGATCTAACATAAGTGTATCTTAACCTTCTATTCTGTTGGTATGTTAACATTTAGGAGAGAACTCTTCCTGGTTAGGATAACTGCTGGCATGTTCATTGGGAGCTGACAATAGATTTTCAGTGCATTTGGAGCTAGGAAAATGTCTAATTACTCAGATGACTAGGTACATTTCAGAAGTGCGTATTTGGAGGCTTTGTTTTGACTTTGTTTGAATAGCATGAAATGCCTAACATTTTCCCTCGAAAGGAAATTGAATACAAATGAGGGCACAGGACAGCCTTTAAAAATATCACTGAGATGATGCTGAATGTGTGAGATGCATGAGGAAAAACATCCACGACTGAGCAATGGAGATAAACTGCTGGGAGGAAAATACAGTGGGCAGAACCAACCCTTCTTCCTGGAGCTAGAACATCCTATTTCTCCTCCTTAGTCTTTGGGGAAGAGATCAAACCTGAGGGATCCCTAAGTGTTCCCCATGTAAATCCTATCCCTTTGCATGATCCTGCTGAATGTAACTTGGGTGCTTGTCTTGTTCAGTGGAAGTGTTCTGTCTAGAGCCCGAGTGGTTTGTTGGAGTCAGAGTTCCAGTGAGACCTATTTTGAGTCTTTTTTTAAGGTGAAGCTTGTGCATTTTAAGAACAGCTCTGAAACAGATCCTAAAACCTCAGAGCTGCCAGCCA